CACAAATCCCATAACGCAGGAGACCCAAAATGAGAAAACGAAGTTGAAGAAAGTCTAAATGGAAAACCTTAAGAATTCTAACAAAATCCAAAGAAACGAAGAACAGTAAAACCCAGTTGGAAAAACATGGTAACATCTAGACTGATGAAAGAATTCTACAGAGCTCTGTTAGATTGATTTCCTGTGCTGGGTGTCCTATATTGTCGAACGGAAGTAGACAACAAATAAATTTTCAGATGTAAACTTGTTTTATCAAGTTCATGGGTACCCACACGGTAGCCTTTTGCGATTCGCACTGAATTTTAGCAATGGTGTGAAAATAAAAAGCATTCAATCGCATTCACCATCAGCGAAAGAAAGAAGTTGGCATGAGTTAAATCTGAGAAAAAAAGAAGGTATAGAAAGGATAACATGTTGTAAATTTTCATGATTTTAGGAGTGTTCTGTATGACTCAACAACAAAGTATGCATTGTCGCTGATTATTTTTTGGAGTTTCGCATGAAAAAGATCCTGAACTCAGTTTGCATTTTTAGGGGTCTTACTCGTACAATATCTTTCAGATCATCTTCAGACGACGTTCTTTCGCTTCTGATGCTCGTGTGGAACACAAAACCTGGTATTACACTCATCGCTGATGCATGCTACAGCCGAGTTGCTGTGTTTAATGAAGAATTTCACACTGGCTTAGCTGAGTGGCACCTCTTTTCTCGTTTCTAGTGGAAGCGTAATTGTTATGCCAAAACTTTGTGGGAAAAGTTATTGAAGTTAATGTATGTATATGTTAAACTCCTACTTAGATTAAGAGTGCTGTTCTAAGTAGAAAATTTTAAAATTGCGAAGTTTCAACTTGTCACCACAATATCCACTAAAATACCAAAAAAACTTCATTGAGAAAGTGATTTTTTTCCTTAAGTTAGTTAAGTAAACAGTGTATAATGTTAACAATTTTGTGAAGAGTTTTTTATGGATGAAAACAAATAAGTAAAACGCCTTCAATAAATAAAACAGGTTACTTAATCATTAATATAGTAGAACAAATTTTACGTCATCATTACGATAATTACGTCATTAAAATCGATGCCTACTACTACACTATTTTCTATTGTTAAAAAGACTGAACGAGAAAGGCAATTTTGGCTCATAGTAGCCTTAAGATAGTTCTTAATTTTAGTTTCGAAAACCTCCTGTCAAATGAGCTACAGAACACACAAACTTAAGAAAAATCTTAATGCGAAAGTGAGGTTAGGAACAAATTTGGAAAGTTCATATTCAGCCACAAACTCTAAGAATCTTTAAAAACTCCAACCAAAAGAATCTTCTTTTAAAACTTTGGCAGCTTGTAGAAATCTTGTTAGGCGTAAAATTTCTGTAAGAATGCCATCTTCAGAAAGCTCATCGTATTTTAACCAAAACCTTTTACAAACTTGGGAAACTCAGTTTCTGAGGTTTTGGTCCGATTGCTGGGCTCTAAGCTAACTGATCTGATATACGTTCCACGGCTTTGCAATATATATCGATTTCTTGTTGAAATCCTTCAATACACTCGAACTTTTCAATTCTTGATGCAAGTTCAGGGGCTTATGTGCAACCTTCATTCCGGATATTATTCCTTTCTTCCTGACAGTTCTTTTTACCACAGGTTATGCCCATCTTTTCTTTCCTTCATTATGTCACGTATGTTCTCTGAATTTTCTCACCACAACAACGAAGTGATTAGTATGATGTGATCACAAAAGTACAACTATAGTAACTTCCATTGTTAACACAACAATATTTCTTGCCACACTGCTTTATCAAGGTTGAATGTTACTACAACTTGTAACACACTGTTGTACAATTATTTCTTGACAAGCTATACAGCTGTTCTGGAATCTTTCTAATAAAGCCGTGTGCGCTTAGAAAAACATTTCCTTAACTGTTATTGCATATTTCTAAAAGAACATTTAATGGAAAAGTGTTTCCTGGATTTCCCTAACTATTATTCACAATTCCCTAGATTAATATGTCTCGTCAATGCCTCTGTAATTATATTTAAAATAAATTTCTAATATCAAACTTTTTAAAACTGTACTGAAGAAATTTATTTCAGTTGATATGTATTAAGAGCGAAAAATAAATAAATGAATATTAAAAACAAACGACAGTTGTAAGTATAACTCAAGAGAAAAGCAGAAATAAATTAAACCTTTTTAACACACGAGAAATAATATAGATTACCGATATTATTCACAGAGTAAAATCTAATACGCAATTCAGCTAAATCCTTGAACTCATTCTGTCTAAAGTTATTCAGAATTTCTCGATCGTGGGCTGCCCGAGGTGTATCTACGTAATGCTGCTTAGTTTTTTGGAAGCTCTGAGAGAAATCGCTCCTAGAGCTCTAAAAATTGGCTTTTCTGAAACCTCCGTCTTAGCAAATATCGTCAAATATTGTCAAATCACTAAAAGATTATCGGCATGGAGAATTTCTGCTTATTAGTGCAAAAGGGCCCAGAAATTTGCCCAGGAGGACTATTAATTTCGTTTTGGCATTTTGCGTCGATTCACGATAAGCGTTACTTCGCTTTTCAGATTCTTGCCACCAAATATTATCGCCCTCTATTATATTTAAAGAAGTTAAATAATGAAGAATATGCATGAATGTATGTATATTTCTCCCATTATGATAAAACAACGGTACCTGGGCCCTCAAATTTGAATACGACGGTCTTCTAGAATATGGGCATGTGGAAGCCCTAATTTGAATTTGAAGTTTGTTTTATTATCGATTCCATATTTTGTAACATTTTAGCGAATTTTTGATTTAACAAACTCAACGATTTAAAAGCGAGCAATGGCAACACTGTGCGAAAAAAAAAACATTTTTTAACTCCAGTGTGCGAGACTCTGTATCGGATATTTTAAAGATGTGCTTATTTTAAAATTATTTTGTGATATTTTTGGTGAACTGAATTTTATGGTTTGAGTACGTAGAACGTGATATGTATTTAATAAAATAAAGGTAACATGCACAACGTTAAAAAAACGCCCCTTTGAACATAATTTAAAATCTAAACCTTTCAGATTTTTTTTTAAATTTAATTTTCTATTTAAGCTATTTTTAAAACCATCTTTGCTATGCTTCCAGTTTGGAACCATTATCTCCAGAGGTCTACACAGTTACAGTTCTTAGTAGTAAATTTTGAGAGAGACAGAAAACATTGTGCTTTATGCATAGTATTCGCGCGTAAAGAGGAAGTTTGATTTTTAACAATGTAAAACCTGTTGGATTCAGGATCACGAATTCTGAAATTCTGTACAATAAATACGCATTATATACAAATACGTGGCTACAAGTTCAATTTTACAAAAGCGAAGCATAAAATTACCATTTAAAATGCAACATTAAACACATACATAAATGGAACAATCCAATAATGTTACACCAATCACATACATAAGAAAGCAAATGAATGGACTCAAATATTTACAGAAATTTAGAATAGTATGTAAAAGAAAACCAAACCTTTCGTTCATTGTAGGCACATGCTTGAAGTTTTCACAAACGGCTGCAAAAGCAGCATTAGTAATTTGAGAATAATTTTCCCATAAATTCTTGTTTAAAATCTCCTGGATTATATCTATGAATGTTTGGGTTAAACCTATGATATAGTTTCTTGCAGTATTTAAATAATGTTTATTTAATATTAAATTAAGCACTATTGTTGTCTATCTTTTCTATGTTTTAGGTGTAAAACTGCCCCATACCTTAATACTTCTAGGCAGTCGCCTAGAATTGCCGAATGCTAAAATCATCCATGTAGACAACTATAAATACAGAACTATAGATTTTTGTTATTACCAGTAGTTTATTTTTTATGCATCCTACAGGCAGGCGAATCAGCGAGAAATTCTATAATTAAGCCACGTAACATATGACTTTATGAACGTCATTTAACAATTAGAGAAATTCTATAATTAAGCCACGTAACATATGACTTTATGAACGTCATTTAATAATTAGTACTTTAAATAATGAACTATAGACGTTTCCAAAATCAAAATATTTGTTAAAAATAAGAGTGAATGTTTAAACATTTTATTGTATATTGCACAGGTCTTCTTATATCCGTTAATTACTAGTAATGTTATAAGTATATATGTTTGATTAATGAAAGGGCACAGTACTCTTTTAATCGCGGAAACATATTTGATTATTTGAGGGATATTATGGTGCTTGAGCTGTGGCATTATGAAAATGATATTCCACCAGCATAAGACGGCATGTCATTTTCAGGTTTCTTGAATTGTTATCAAAGGATTCTCGAAAGTCTGCTACTACAGGAAAATTTAACAAATTTACTTTAAGAAAATATTTGTTTCTAAATTAATTGAATGGAACTAACCAATAATCATGCTAAAAAAGTAGTGGTGTTAACATAACTCTTTAGTTCTCTATAATTTTAAATATTATATAAACCGCTAAAATTTTAATATTAATAAGCAGAAAAATACTAATATACTCGCTTAATTTATGCCTTTATTGTGCCGATATAATTAAATGATTTACTAATATAATTTCAGTAAAAATACTGATAAATAAATCTTTAAGATTGGAATTTTTTTCTGTTTTCTAGTAAATTAAAGATATATCATTTCCCACTCTTTTTTGCTAAAATGTATTTCCCCAAATTTTATGTTTGATTCATTAGTGTAAAGGAGCTTTACAAAATGTATGAAAATTACTTTTTAGAAACTATGACATCAATCTCTTAGAGCTAAAAATGTGTTAGTGTAACCCACACTTAAAAAACATTGCAAATGATCTCGTCTTTAGTGTACCACTGTTGCGACCGTCACCTTTCGGCGACGTAATCTACAAAAAAAGGAAAAAGCGACAGGTGAGCACAGGAACCAGTGAATGTGCTTATTCGTGCGTAGTACACCTTTAAAGCCAGCTAGAGGCCAACGTTCAAGGGTTGTTGGTCAAGCGAAGAGTATTTGAATATGGGGCCGAATGCGGGTCAAGCTCTGCAATGGGTCCGATTAAGTACTCGGTCACCTCTTGAGTGCGATCTTCTCTGGAGTACACGATGAAAGGAAATTCCTAATAGGAAATGGATTGTAGGATACTGATCTACAATCATGGCGTAGAATATGGCACTTAAGAGGTAAGAAATTTATTTTTATTTCCAACTACATTTTATGTATCATATGAAGCCCAGCTGATAAAAAGGTACCAGAATGAATTATTTTGACTCTGGAACAGATGGGAATTAAAATGTTTTATTGTCGCTTGTTATTGGTTTCATTTTGAGGTAAGAATTAAATGCACTTTTTCCGCACTTCTTGAACTCTTTAATCAAATTAGGCGGATAATATTCAAAGTAAACATTCGGAAAGTTTTATTCTGGTATTAGCATTTGGGAAACGAGAAGCATGTCTTTCTTCAAAGGAAATTTTATGTTTCCAATTCTTCTAAAACGTAATTTGGCTTTATCTCGCTAATTTTCTTCTCCAGTTGTTTAATATCTATATATAATTAAATAGCAGAAATTTGTGCGCATCGTTTTCTCATCTAGCGCTTATAAAACTATTGGTCAGGCTCTGGTTTTGAATGGCAGGTATTATTTACTTCTCAGCTGCGTTCCAATTTCTCATACAAGTATGTAAAAAACGCAAATAACAATAAAATAGGTTTCTAAACTTAAGATTGGTATGCTCGTTAAAAATATCACATCAGATATCATTTGGTTTTCTTTACATTATGTAATACATGATTGGTAGTAATTTGGTATTAGTTCGACCAATTTTCAGATTTTTCAGATTCTTAAACGCCTATTGCTATTCTTGTAGCGCAGCAATTATCGAACTACGCAAGTTCAATATATTACCTCAATAGTGATGTATTGAATTGGGTAATATTAAATTCTGCTTTAATACATAAGAATGTACAACAGACATATTTTCTAATAAATAATTCAGTGCTACTTAAAAATTTAGTTTCTATTTATTTATATGCATCAACATTTCCATAAAATACCGTTTCTTCAGGATAAATTGAATACTCGTTAATATTACAATGATTTTTATCGATAAAACCTGTAATGCCAAGTGGTTTTATTCCCCTCAAAAAAAAAAAAAGGTCAATACTCAAATATTTTTAGCCAATTATAAAACTTGCGAAATAATTGTTGCTTAAATAATTACATATTTGGTATTCATTGTTTTCTTCTAAATACGTGCGTAAGATTAAATCTGCATATTAATTTATGCCTTATAGAAAGATTTAAAAATATTAGGTAAAATAATGTAGGTTTGAGCTGATAATAGTTATTTCAATAATGCGCATGCACTGAAGAACTATAATTAAAACAAACAGGTAAGTACTTAGCTCTGCAAAGCTAACGAGGTTGTATGCCTTGAAAGAACTGCTATCGTGGAGAAAATTCAAAAGCGGATAGTTAGCTTCTTATAGAGGAAATTCCGAGAAGTTCTATTTCTTGATTCACTTTCGCACAGAATTATCACCTTTCAATTAGTGTTCAATTATTGCTGTGCTCGGACAGAGGCAACAGGGGACAAGAATATGTATATGTTTTTATACCACCTATTTAATTAAAAGCAAGAAACTTGTGAGACATAAAGATTTTGCTTTCTTCACTAAAACTTCAAATATTGACTTAAAAAAGAGTTATTAGAAATAATTTAAACATAGCTGATGAGTACATTTTATTGTTGTAGATTAGATATGAGTTTGATTTTGTATACATAAATAACTGATTGTGAAACACATAATCCATATTACTTTGTAATGTAGCGCGCTTCCAACCTGCACACAACAATAGTGGTGACTGCTAATTACTGGAAAGTACACAAAGTCTTGAGAAGGGTTTAAATCCCTTTTTATTCAACTTTAGAAATTACAGATGCGTGCTCTTGACGCTCACAAACTACGCCGACCCGGCGGTAAAATAAAAATAAGAAACTAAAAAAAGAATAATAACAAGTGACTAACTACGAGGCTCTCTAAACGTAACTAACCTCACCGCGTTCTAAGATACCGCTGATAATTCAGCAAACTTCTGAATATTACGTTGAAAGATTAAAACTATCTGCCGAGGCAAGCACACAGGCCGAAACGCGTGGTTCTTCAATTTCTAACTAGCCACCTCCACGCTCGTGAAGCAAGAAAGCACACTTTCGAACTCGTTTCCCTTCTATTAAACTCAGATTACTTCCGCTGACAATTTGAATCCTTTGCGCGTTCTACTAAAATTTACATACTCTGGCATTGGCAATTCCAGGGGAAAGTAAGGCTTGACAGGAAAGATAGTTTAAACTTAAAATAAATGTTAGTTAAAATAAATATAAACCCTACAACTTATTATTTAAAATTTTAAACTTCAAATGCTGGGGAATGACTAATAATATATTTTGTTGGATGAGTTGGAAATATGTCTGATATTTTTGAAGGAGTTGGAAACATTTTGAAAATTTTGAAGATTTCTCATTTAGAAGTGAAAGAGATACACTATTACATTCTCATCATTTCTTTTTAAGCTAAATTTAAGAATAGAGCTAAAATTTTCTATCATGTCCTTTTATTTTAAACCTGATTTTTTAAAATCAAATATTAAGTATGATAATATTTACATACTGAAATTATAATGCATAGTTTAGAGCTTTTAATAAACACATAAATAATTTTATGTCTATATAAGTAATGTATTAAAATTTATTTCTAACATTTTTATATAAAAATTAATTTTCGAACACTTTTAACTTTTAATCAACTATTCTAAAAGTTGCTTTTCAGCAGATTTGTCTGTACAGTGAGAATAAATATGCTTCTTTTTGCAAATGTGTGGACGGAATGGATCCTTGCAAATACACTTCGTGCTTCTGCAAATAAATCAATTCTTACTTATACACAGTACAATAGTCGAGAAAGTTAACCCAGGAAGACCACAAAATATTTTGTTGAAAAATGACAGGGTTTTTATACTAAGCTGTCGTGTTTCGTAAGTGAGACAGATGAGTAAAAAATTTCCTACTTTAAAAAAGCTCTGCATCAATGAGAAAATATTTTACCAGTACTTTATGGATTAATAAAATAGCTTGCAAAGATATTGATAAAAAGTAGCAATTACTTTAAACGCGTTATCTTTAGAACCAAAGTAAAGGAAACAATTTTCGTTGAACTAGAATTTGAAAGCTAGACAGACTCTGAGCTTGCAGTGCACGGATTGTCGTATTAAATGATATGAATAAATTTTGAGGTAATAACTCCTGTCCTCACTGGGTGATCCTGTTTCAAGATATGCTGGCAAAAATTCAAAACTTTGGATTTTCAGGGAGTAAACGTTTTCATCTTCATACCCATATATATTTCTTCTAGTAAAATGTTAGTTCTGTGATCTGGGAATAATAAATGTACTTCCATCACTATATTAAAAAAGGTACATAAATGATAGTTCAACAATAAAATAGTAATAGAATACAGCAAAATGTTGCACTGAGAAAATACCAAGCAAGAAGTGGCAAACATCGCTCTAACTCGTGACAGTTTACAAAAGAAAAAAGTAGAGCAAGGGTTTTGAACAAAAATGTTGTAGTAAAGAGAACATTAAAGTCTTTTGTAAACAGATAAAGTATTTTATTCTTATTTTTTAGTAAAGAGAATTTTAAAGTCTTTTGTAAGCACATAAAGTATTTTATTCTTATGTTTTAATAAAGAGAACTTTAAAGTCTTTTGTAAGCACATAAAGTATTTTATTCTTAGACATTTTCTATTGAAATTATTTTACTAATTGTTCTTTCATAAATCAGTTCAATAGGGTATAATAGGTTACACAGTTCGATAGGGTCTACAGCACTCCATAAAAGGAGTAACAAATTGCAATAAAACCACGTAGGATGAATGAAAATTAAAGCTATATCTAGGTTCAACATTCTAAAACATTTACATTAAGAATTAAAACATTCTTACTGAAATTTGGTAAGACTAAGTTATTGGATAATTGTGCATTCTAATGTTTTTGATTAATTAATGTGCAACAGAAATAGTGCACTGAGCATGGAAATCATGCATGCTATGCATAAAAACTCATTCTTGTTATAATTTTCTCGTGTTGTTTTGAAATACTTTTTATAAAAATGTTAACAGGCCTAAAACTTTAAAAACGTTATTAACAATATGAGAAGTATTCATTGGCAGATTTTAAAGGAGATATTGAATGTAACATAGCCATTGCATTATTTTTCAACAACTATTTTAACGGTTTCACACAAAAATATCTGTAATTACTATCTTTATTAATTCATGTTTAGATATTCAGTTGGTATGCATGTGTTCTAGAAAACACTAACTCTGACGGAAACTGAGACTTACAAATTCGTTCTAAAACACGTAGAAAAATGTGCAGTCCAAAGTTACAAAACAGTTAAATCACCACCATAACCCTCGCAAGGAAACAAAAAGTAAACTGAAAGTAATGTAGTGATTGAATTTGAAAGTAACATGTAATATGCCTCTTGCCCATCCATAATTTTTCTATTTCTATTTCCTTTTGATATTATCCTATAAAACACCTCAAAGAAAACTTTTTTAGAGAGTTTATTGTTTTCAGTTCGAGGATTTCCTGTCCTGGTAAAATGGAAATTATACTGCTAAAGAACTATTTGTTCCAAGTTCCGTGCTCAGAGAATCGGGTAAAATAAACGCAAAGTTACACCTTTAAAAATTAATTCACATTTTTAGTAAATAATTGTACAGAAGGCCAAATTAATTTACAGTGGCATTAATATAAATATATATCTGTAATATTAATACCATTACAGTTATATAGTCGCAAAACAAATATTTTTCCCGACAATTTGGCTTTGTTACTTTAAAAGCTCATTTTAAGCACGAGATTTTATTTTCTACATCTTTAATTTTAAGGAAATTAATTATTAAACAACTAATCCTATAACTACTCAGCTTGAAACACTTTCAGGAGTTAAACTAAAATCTACACTCTAATATCAGATTGCTATTTGTAATTTTCTAATTTAAAAATTATTTTTAAAACTGTTAATATGATAAATCGTGAACTGTTAATATGATATATTTTAATCTGGTAGTTCCCAAAATGTATTCCGCGACACTTTAGAATACTATAGATATTACGGGTTTAGCCCTGAAATTTCAAAGTTCTTCAAAATGTCATAAATAAATTATATTTTCTTGATTTTAATTAAAAAATAACTCTCTCATTTTGAACTTTGATTCCTTTTCTTCCAATATACATCCAAAATAAAATCAGATACATTAAAAGCTAGCAGAAATTTTCCTGTGTAATGAATATAGAAGGCAACCTTCTATACGGAATTTTCGAGCCGTAACGCTGAGAGAGTTAAGAGTCGCCATGAAATATTCCGGTATTTTCAAAGAATTAATACTTTTGCTTCTGTACACGAAATCCGCACTAATCTGTTTCGCGCTAATTCATTAAGAAAACATTTGGCTGCAGGAAATTAATTTTTAGGTACTATCAAAAGAGCAATAATCTGCATGTGACATTATATTTGTACAAAACTTGATTTTCGACGATCACTGTATTCAACAGGAGGTATCATGAGAAAACTCCCTGTGGAATATGAAATAAGACAGTTATGTCCAGTCTGATTCCAAGATTTCAAAACATTAGAATAAAAAAAGCTTAACTTCCCTTAATTACGATTCATTTTTTCAACGATAGGATTCTTCGAAATATTTACTTATTTAATGCATGTGATATAAATTATTTCTGAATTTGAAACGTATGTTTCATTTATTTTTCAACCAGCCACATTAAAACCGTCGTTTAGTTGCTTATGGGCCTATATTTTAACTCTGAGAGTAGTGGATAAAATTCTCATACTTCAACGGCGCCGCGAACCGAAAATGTTTGTGGACCACTGCTGTAATCTAAAGATTTCAAATTGCTTTTATTTTACTTTTATTTTCCTCTTCCGTAGCGGATGAAAGTGTCGTGAAGAATTTAATATAAGTATTTCAAATAAAACGAATAGATATAAAATATTAATTTCATACTGAAGGAAATATGCGTCCTATATTTCTTTTTTACACTAAACTGTCAAACACATCGATCTTTTCTTAATCGTCGCGTTTAGTATTTTCTGCCTGGTAACGGAAAATTGTACTTTATAAATATTCGCATATCAAAGAAGTTTTGGGGATCAAATTGTTAATTTAAAATTTTTGTGGAGAGCGGTATTACATATAGTGAAGAAATAAAAGAATGGATTTGATAAACACCATCTCATAAATTTTCATTAAAATGTATTTAATAATAGCTCACAAACATAGCTGAGATATCTACTCATGCATGTACACATACGCCTGCTTTCAGTCGAGGTCTGTAATGTTGCCGTTGTGGCTTTTTAAATGAATGAAAGAAATCAAATGAATGAAAGTGAAGTTTTGTAGTGAATGAAATAAAATTCAATATTTAAATGATAAAAAAGAAAATGCAGAAAATGATAAAAATTTTTTCTCGTAAGAAAGATGTGAAATCTTTCCGACTAAGATTCCAGTCGTTAGGTAATTCTGTTACATTCAAACACTCTACCTTTAGGAAGTTGCTTTTGAAGGCTTTTAAAAGGAAACTAGTTATCTCAAGTTGTTTTATTCATGGTTAAAAATCAAACAATCATTAAATCTCTTCGTTCCACGCAGAATTAATTTCCAACGAATCGAACGATCTGCTTTAACCACGCAGCCTCTAATGAGCTCTCGTTGTTAAAAGTATTTCTTACCTAGCAGCTTTATTTCTCAATTTTGCTTTAATTAAAATAAAATTAGAACTACAATTAAAACAAAACTCTTATTCAGTAAATATTAATCAAATAAAGTAAGAAATACATGCAAACTATTAACTGAAATCATACACCCTTGATTGGCAAATCTTTATACTTTTTATTTATTAAAATTATAATTATTAATTAGAGGAATTTATCTATTTCTGTATTCCAAGTGAAAATACACTGTTAAAGCTTACTAAATCAGAAATGAATCTTTGTTTTCTGGAAAATAGTATAAAACTTGTAACAAGGTCACCTTACATAACATCCATTTTTCAGATCATACGACTTGAGGTATTTGGAATAAAATGTTTTTTAAAACAGAATTTACTCAAACTTTGTGCTAGCTCTTCGCATATTAAACAGACTTTGTTACATCACTAAAAATATATTTACGTTATTTACGTTCAAATTTAATGATCATGCATTTTGCAACTTGATGATAAAATGACAAGTTTGTGTTGAAGTTAAATTACTTATGATAAGAATATGTCTTGAATTCTAAGTAAAGTAATAATGCATTGAAGATTGCAAAGATATTTTCATTTGGAGTAATAATGAATTCTATTTTCAGATCTTCAGCGCCTGAGCTGTTACTTTTAGCAGTTGGATGTCTGCTGCTGTTGGATAACTGCGTGTTGTGCCAGAGTCATGGTAACTACAGCTTGGATTATATCCATAAATCGAGCGATACATTTCATAGAGAGAAGAGGAGAACTCAAACTCAAAATGGCTTCTTCTTTCCTATTGCCATGTATACTGTCAGACATCATAGACCAGGTGAGTTACAATTATTATAACTAAAATTCTTATCTGTTGCTTGCAGTAAAATATCTGTGGACTGCGGATGATCCTCTTCCTTTTACCTCTTTGAATGCACAAATTAACCCAGGTATCAAAAGCAGCTAAGCAATAAGTATGAACTGATATTTTTAAATATATAATTCAATGGCATATCAATATGTGTATTGATTTGAGCCTTGAAGAATGGCAGAAAGAATGTAGTAGAGAACTATGATTCTTCATTTGAGTTACGACCTGATCCCTCTGTGCCAAGACATAGATTTAGTCCGACTATTAGAGGTGGTCTTTCCGGCATACTTGGATTTTTTAAGGTAGGTATTTTGTAGTTGGAAATATATGAAGAATGATATTTGTGAAGCAGCTCGTCTTCAGTTGTAGCAAACACCTTTAAGTTAAAACAAGATGCTTATGGGGATTACTTTAATCCGCTCAAATGTTTACCATGGATATGTATGTTTTTATCTATATTTTCTTAATAGCCTGAAGTTTTGCGATTGTTGATACTGATGAAAAGCACATCTGTTCGGAATCACATAACTCGAAGTCTAACTTCATGTTTCTAAACACTTCTAAAGGAAAAAACACTTCTAAAAAGAAAGTTATTTCCAGATTTAATAAGGATATTTGTATTGAACGAATGGTTTATAAAGGATGTCCACAGGGTTCTTGCAGTGCTCCTCTGCTCTAGAATATCGTAATGTATGTATTGTTAAAGAAAGAGTATCCAAATGGTGTAAGAATGTTATCACATGCTGATGGCATTTTATATGTGATTCAAGAAAACTCTTTGGAGAAATTAGAGAAACAATTTTCATTTGCTATAAAAGATTTAAAAATGTGGATTGACGAATAAAGGCTGACACTAAATTTACAAAAAATTAATTTCTTGTTTTACCCAAAGGGTGGAAAAAACTAGACTACCAAAACTAAAATATGAATGTTTTAGAATTAAATGTGTTAAACGCTTTAAGACTTGATGTTTTTTTCAGTTATAAACTGAATTTTGAAGAACATTTTAATAATATTTTTAGAAGAAATACTTCTATTCTGATGTATTATAAAAGAAATTTCTGAGACATTAGCACTAAAAAGTAAAATTATTAGATTAATTTAAAAAACAATTATTACTCCCATTATATTATATTATGTTGGGCTTGGTGTTCTAGGGTCGCAGACCTGGAGTGAATCAGAAATTAATTAGATACAATACAACGACCCTGGCTGCTGCTTCTGACCAGATGCTTTAACAGGTTTCGACGGAAGTCGTTTGCATAGTGAGCGGTATGCCGCCTTTCTAGATATTTTATTCTTTTTATTATGATAAATTCAAATTACATTCACAAAATGTTGATTTTATTACTTACGGAGGTCTTGACGCCAGGCGTCCCCGTCCTCCATCACCTGCATATACAGAAGCTGTTCACACATTTTTAGACGATGTATATTGTATTCACAAAACTAAATTACATAAAATTCTTGTGTTTTAAATGTTATATTTGACATCCCTTATTCTGAACTATCTTTCGACACCGCAATTTCCAGGATAATAATGCCTTTTGAAGTGGCAGAAGAGATATTCTATCCCATTCCTCCCTAACAGCTTTCCAGAGTCCTATTAGGGTTTTGAGACAACGTTTGGATAATGCAGTTTTTAAAAGTCCGAAAGCACAAAAATCCATAGGTGACACATCGGGAGATTTAGTAGGGATATCAGTGAAGAGTATGGCCTTGATACCAGTTTTTTGTTCCATTTCGTTTAGGAAATTTACAGTGGATTTTGATGTGTGACTGCTAGCTTTGTCCTGATGGAGTCTCACAGATTGATGGCACTGTGGGTAAAGCGATGCAATTTCATTCAGAAAAATTGGCGATAAAATATGTTCCTGATAGTATTTGGAGTTAATCTTGACATTTTTTTTGCACTCTCTTTATTTTTAACTTGCCATTATAAGAAAAACCAGCAACAATCATGAATCCCTTAAAAACTTTCTTTCGATTCTTTGAATCATGTACTTAAATTTTTTCTCCCCTTTTATGATAATAAATGGCCCTTTTCTTGTTACAATCATTTAAATACATCCATGCTTCATCTATTGTGACAATTGTTTTCCATTTTTCTTTGGATAAGTGTTTCTCATATAGAATTCTGCAGCGTGTCCTGCGAAATGCTTTGGAAGAAGACGATGTACATTGCGTTTCTTAGCTTTCTTAAGATTTAAATCAACGTTTATCATTTTGTTTACAGTGGACACCGAGCATTTTAATGATTTTTGCAAATGTCCTTTGACTAGGGGGATTTTCTTTTAACATTAAACAACGTACCTTTGCAATAGTCGAAAATGTCCGTTTTTTCCTTGGATACTTGTTTGGAATTTTTGTTCCACTTGAGGCTCCAATTTGACGTTTGTTTCCTTTCTTGTTGATGATATTACCTATCGGCGCTTTAGATATCACAAACCCATGACTCTCACATCGTTTTTGGATAACGGAGTATGCATATTTCTCTTCGGAAAGAACGTAAATGTAGCCTTCGAACCACTGCTTTGTTAAATTCGCCATTTTGAATAAAAACAAAACTTTCAAGCCACAGACAATAATTTTGACTTTTAAAAACATAGTACAATTGCAATTACTTCTTTTGCAACAAACGATTTTTTATTACAGCTTACCAAAATCGTCTAAAAATGTGCGAACAGCCTCTGTAATACAGTACACTTAAGACACCCCTGCTTGGCCACGTGAATAAACTTATTTTGATATCTCAATAAAATCCCGATGCGGGCCTCTTGCGGCTCCAGGGAGTTGTTGCCTCTAGGTAGGGAAGGGCGTGGGACACATGCCTGTTCACCTCTGTTAAACATCAGGCGTCCCCGTCCACCGTCATCTGTCACCTGCATATAATACATCTGAAACTGGTGAACTCTACTGTATGTATGAACTCTCTGACTCAATCCATGAACTTTTTATGAACTGTCAATGAACTGTGAACCATCTATGAACTGCAACTCCGTACTGACACTGTACACTGAGCAAACCTATCAACTTAAACCCACGACACCCACAATGCAATTCTCAAATATGGTATTACACTGCAAATTACATCACATTAATAGCACAATAAATTAACCAAGATAATAATGTTTAATGTTTTTCCATTAAATTATATTTGCTTATTTGTGTTTATTTGTATAGCTATATTTATATTTATATTTATATTTCACCATCAACTGTAATGTATGGTATTGTACTGTAATGTTATTGCCATCAGCAACTGTATCACCCGGCCATGCTCTGTACCACAAGTTCTGTATGCCGTGATGATAACTTTTTAATTAACACCGATGCGTAAGTGCGGCCTCTGGAGGTGTTCTCAAGACGGTTAGTGTGAAGCAGCTATACCAGTTCTGGGAATGGCGATGTGTTGGTGCTTCCCACACTTAGTCCTGTCCTGCATATAATACATTGAACTGTATTGCAATGATCAATGCAATTCGCAAACTGCAGTGATCAATGCAATGCATATTATAAAATGTATAGTGTAATGAGTATGTGTAGGCGTGTGTTAATATGCTATGCAACCAGGAGAATGTTTAATTCCACATGCAGAAAATTTCTGATACTTTGCCCTTTTATGATCGTGTACTGTCTTGATTTCGGAGTGTAGCTTTAAATAGTTGCGGGATCTGGACAATACCCGAATAATCTATGCAAGCCACCCGGGTGTCCAGACCTGCTTTCACGTGTCACCTGCGCATAATACATGTTTTTCTGTCTTAACAGCATACATTCTGCATTAAGAAAAGCTGTGGAATGCCGGCGACTAGATGTTTGAGTAAGAGAATTTGATGTATTTACTGATGGTTCCGGTTATACAATGGAGAATGGGGATAGCAATTGTGATTTACTTGTTTGGTACAGAAGTAGACTACGGCAAAATTAGACTTGAATCTTACAAATCGGTTTTGGGCTGCTATCGTATTTGCTCTTAAATGGATTGATGAAAATCTGATTGTAAAAACATATATTAATATATATACGGACTCATTACCTAGGCTGGAAGCACTAGCAGATATTGATAACACTAATATTTTGGACTGATATATACAAGATCTCCTTGTAGAAGTTGAAAAATATATGAAGGGATAATGAGCCCAATTGGTGTGATGGTGATAATGTGATACGACATGCTGGTCAATACCGGGGATGCATTCGATATTCAGGCCTCAAAAGGAATTGTTATTCGTAAAATAAAGGATTTCTATTATGACTGCTGGAAAGAGAAATGGAACATTTCGGGAGAAAAGGAAAGATTATTTGTTGAACTTTTAAGTTTCTAAAAATATGAGAATATGTAATTTTGATTACAATCAAATAATTTATGGATACGGGCGTTTCCTGGCGTACCTGAAAACATTTAATTTGAAATATAATAGTCTTTGTAGTTTTATAGTGCTGAAGGTAATGCAAGACATTTCTTCGAAGACTGCTTATTATTGCGACATGATAGGGAAAACATGGTAACATAAAAAAAATTCTACTGCCGCAATAAAGAGTTTAGATTTGCAAAGGATTTGATGAACTTTATAAATGGAAATAGAACAATACTGCGAATTATGGCTTGATAATTTTGAACTGTATTTTTGTTTTAATTTTTTTAATATCTGAACTGTATTTCTGTTTTATTTTTTTTTAATCTTTGAACTGTATTTTTTATGAGACCGATTACTATCGGCCAGGAAGGTTGCAGCGCATTGGTATATTACATTACATTATGGTGTATTTACTGATGGTGTATTATGTATTATTATGTATTATTTATTTAAAGTTAGTTCTTATATATAGACAGAGTAATGTTTTGCTTATCAACATTTCCTGATTACATAATGTTTTGCTTATCAACATTATCCATTAATTACTGACAGTTTCAAAGCAAAATAATTACGAGCATAAAGTTGCAAAATAAAATAAGAAAAATA